TGTCCACAACAACTACATTGCTTCCAATGCATACACTTGTTTTAGTGCTGCTTTAGGAAGACGGGTTAATGGCTCTGAACGTAGAGACGGCAACTTCTAGTTGGCTGCACACCGAGGTCCGCGGTTCAAATCCCACAGCCAGGCTCGGCTGAATTTTTGAGTTTTGCCTTGTTAAGGCGAAGATCATATGTTTTATGATTGATGTGTTTGTTTTCTCTTTCGAGACGAGCTTAATGATCAGGAATTTGTAGTGAAAAGGAAAGCCAGATAGACACTATCACACACTCACCACTATGCGACGCGTTTCGCCGTTGGTTAAGCGGCTCATCAGGCATATTTGGTGTGGATGATGGCTTACAAGGGCCGTTCTCTGGAAAGTAGTATATATTTCGAACTTATTGCAAATTAGCATATGTGAATTATACACTAGAAACTCTCCAGGTTCGACTCAAGTTCTATTGGCAGATCTTTTTCACAGCAAAGTTTTGTTTTTTGTAGTGATGGATTTTTTGTCCACAACAACTACATTGCTTCCAATGCATACACTTGTTTTAGTGCTGCTTTAGGAAGACGGGTTAATGGCTCTGAACGTAGAGACGGCAACTTCTAGTTGGCTGCACACCGAGGTCCGCGGTTCAAATCCCACAGCCAGGCTCGGCTGAATTTTTGAGTTTTGCCTTGTTAAGGCGAAGATCATATGTTTTATGATTGATGTGTTTGTTTTCTCTTTCGAGACGAGCTTAATGATCAGGAATTTGCAGTGAAAAGGAAAGCCAGATAGACACTATCACACACTCACCACTATGCGACGCGTTTCGCCGTTGGTTAAGCGGCTCATCAGGCATATTTGGTGTGGATGATGGCTTACAAGGGCCGTTTAATTTGATTTTGACTTTTATGTAAAATAGATGATAAGGCCTTCAGACTATCTTCCTCTAGAAGGGGATAAGTAGGCAGGCCAAAGTACCCTTCCTATATCTCTAGTAAGAGTCTTCTATTGTGGTCTACTACACGACGTAGAAAGTCTCCAGTTCGAGGTCCAGAGGGCGTCCAGGTCGAGGTCTTCTATGTAGAATATTAGTCCTTCAGCTCGTGGCCTTCTATGTAGAATATTAGTCCTTCAGCTCGAGGTTTTCTACATACATTAGACGGTATCCAATTCGAGGTCTACTATGTTGAATATAAGGCCTCAAGTTCGAAGTTTTTGGATGTTTTCTATAGAGTAGAACACCTCTCAATTTTGGGGGTCTTCAATGGTATAGAATGTCTTATATTTTGTAGACGTGTATGAAGTAGATGGTCTCCATGTTGGAGGACTTCTGTGGAATAGAATTGGAGGTGAAACTCTATTGTACCAATAAGAAGTCTTCCAATAAGAACTCTTCTACAGATTTTGGTGATCCTCCAAACCTTAAGTGCTTTAGTTTTTATGTATTTTGGAGTTTTTATAGAGAAGAAATGTTCCAACGTAAAAGAGAAGGTCTCACAAAACTTGGTGATCCAACATGGAAAACCATTGCTGAGTCATAGAAAAAAGAGTTCTCCAGTTATGGACTTTCTATGAAATAGAAGCCCTTTAGTTTGCCGGGTTTCTATAGACATCTTCGGGTTTCTATGGGCATCTTCTTCTAGAGAAGAAGGGTGATCTTTCAGACAGTGGGCTTCATTGGGAAGCCTTCTTTAAAATATAAGAAATTTTTTATGGAAGTTTTTTTTGTAGCTCTCAAATTTGTGGTGTTTTAAAGAATATGACAACTTCGGTAGAATCAGGGATCTAAATATTTCAATATGTGCTATTTTTATACCCTACACCACAAGGTGGTCAGGGTATTATGTCTTTGTGCATTTGTTTGTAACAGGCAGAAGGAAATGAGATAGACCCATAGTTCCTTTTGATGATCTGCATAGAATCACATTCTGAGTCGATTTATGCATGTCCGTCCGTCCTCTGTCCGTCCGTCTGTCCATGTATTTTTGTAAACAAAGTACAGGTCGCATTTTTTGCCCGATCCAGATGACATTTTGCACAGATCATTTGTTTGGCCCAAGGACGAACCCTATTGAAATTGGAGATAATCGGTCAAAATTTAGATATAGCTCCCATATATATCTTCGTCCGATTTGCCTTTTATTGTGCACCAAACGTGTAATATCAGTCCGAATTGTATGGAATTTTGCACGTACACCAAAATTAGGCCTGAAAATATGTATGCCAAATTTGATCGAAATCGGTTCAGATATAGCTATAGCTCCCATATATATTGTTCATCCGATTTCTCATTTTTGTCCACCGCCGCCGTAATATGCACTCTGCATCAACAATATTTGGGGAAATATATCAAATACAGCTCAGAAATACATTTGCTAAATTTTATCGAGATCGGTTTAGATTTGGATATAGCTCCCATACATAACTTCGTCCGATTTACCTTTTATTGTGCACCAAACGTCTAATATCTGTCCAAATGGGATGGAATTTGGCACTTACGACCGAATTGAGTGTAATATGTCAAATTTGGTGAAGATCGCTTCAGATATAGCTATAGTTTCCATATATATTATTCGTCCGATTTGTTATATTTGTTACCCACAACCGTAACATGCACTCCGTAACGACGATATTCAGGGAAATATATCAAATACAGTTCAGAAATATCTTTGCCAAATTTTATCGAGATCGGTTCAAATTTGGATATAGCTCCCATATATATCTTTATCCGATTTCAAATTTATTGTGCACCAAATGGGCAATACAATTACGAATTTAAAAGATACAAATGCTTCGGCAAATTTAGTCCTTTGAACTTTAAATTATAATTATAATCATAGCGTGTATGATTGAATTCTCCCATAAAAACTTTTAATTGTTATGTGGAGCTCTACTAAATTAGCAAAGTGGTGTAGGGTATCATAAAGTCGGCCCCGCCCGACTTTAAGACTTTCTTTACTGGTTTGATTTAAATACTGGCCTTTCTTGAATCATTCTATAAAATGTAGGAGGCTTTCCATCACTTCTGGCTGCCAAGAGTAGAACGCACTAAAGTCCAAAAAGAAGAACAATTAGCCTCATGCAAACTGGGTCTTGACTATCGTGTCTGAAATATTGATGACCTAATGGTAAGGAACACAAGAAAAATAGAGGGATTAGATACCAAGTTATGCCTTATTGCTGACTCAGTATACCAATTCCTAAACGTGAGTGATTCCATAAATTGTATGTATTACATATCACTTATACGCAGAGTTTTCATACAAACGAACGGAGTCCACAGAACCAGTTCGTCCGCTCTAACTAAATTAGCACAAGTATGCGGTAGGCATTACTTGAATGAGATGAAAAAACTGCAACCAAATTCAGCCTGCTGTCACTTTTGAGCCATTCGTTCGACAGCCTTTAAAATTATTCCAGTGACAGCTCATTATATTGTTGACAAGCCTACAAAAGCATATTGGTGAGAATTTTCAAGAAAAAAAGTTATTTGTGATGGAATTTAAGCGTAATAGTGTGATTTCCTTATAGTTGGCTGGAAAACCACAAGTGGCTATCGTTAGAGCACTCCAGCATTTAAATGTGAATAAATCTTTTGTGTCTCGTAACATCGCTCGTAACCGTGAATTTGGTAGCGTAGCTCGACGTCAAGGAAGTGGACGGAAGAAAACAGTTACATCAGAAGAAATGGTTCGAAAAGTAAAGAAGCAACTTGATCGAAACCCGCTTCGCAGTGATCGAAAAATGGCTCATGAGCTGAACCTTTCGCAATATTCGGCAAATGTTAAAATATGAGCTCGGGGTAAAGCCATTGAAATTCCAAAAAGTGTAATAACTTACACCTCAGCCGAAAGAAAATAGACTCAATAGAGCTATAGAGTTGCTTCGCTTGGCTGAAAGTGGTGAACTGACGAATTTGGTTTTATCCGATGAGAAAACATTCGTTGTCCAGCAGTTTGCAAACAAACAAAATGATCGTGTTTTTACTTGCCAAAGAGATCAGCTGAAAATACGCACCTTCGGTTGGCCGCCAGAACTCAAGCACCGACCATGGTGACAGTGTGGGCCGATTGTCATTCTCCGCTCGTATTAATGGCATCAGAATAAATGCAGAAAATTATCGCGAAAATATTCCGAAGCCTTGGGCACGCAAACATTTTGGCCGCAGACCTTGGACATTCCAACAGGACTCAGAACCCTCGCACTCAGCACGCGCCATCCAAGAATGATTACGAAATGAGGTTCCTCGCTTCATTTCCAGCGCACAATGGCCACCAAAATCTCCGGATATCAATCCGTTGGACTATTGTGTCTGGAGTATTTTGGAAAGCAAGGTTGACACTAAAAAATACCCAAATTTCGATCACCTCAAGCAAGCGCTTCGCCTGTAATGGACCAAAATACCGCAGAGCAACATTCGGGCAGCGTGTGACGGTTTCATTGGCCGTTTGAAGACCATAATTTGTACCATAGGTGACAAATTCGAACAAATCTAAACTTATTCTAAAATTTCTTGCTATTTGTGACATTTTTTGCTTTCATTCCATGAAATATTAACAAAAATTAAAAATTATGGCATTTGACTTTGTTGCAGTTTTTTGTATCTCACCCTGTATGTGGGTTGTATTTAGCCATGTACGTGTACTAACTTTATTGCATTGGCTTTAGAAAGTTAACCCAGAAAATTTCTTCAAAATACTTAATATCCAGTATTTGGGAATATGAATATATTTCAAATTCGAACTAAAAGCACTTGTGTAATATCTCCTCAAAAGAATTTTGACTCCACCTCAATAAAAATATAAATTTGTTTTCTTATACGAACGATTAGGTTAATGCCATGGTAATTCAAAGCTGTGAATTGAAACATGCATCAATGGAGCATTGTAGTTTTGATTCCATGGGAAATGGGTGAACACCTAAAACATGGACAATTCAATCATGTTGCATGATTTTTTCCTCGAGAAATGTGGTTATGTATAAATTTGATGACGCTACTTTAAAATCTTACCCAAAAAACTATGACGATCGATTGAGAATCGCCGCAAACTACCCAAGTCAATGCACTGTTCATCACCGTTCATGGTTGGCGTTATCGATAGCTCTGTGGTGTGATAATTAACACCGATGCCATAGCTGCCACCACCATCCGTATTATAGGCATCTACACCCGCTCCACCATCTGTACCACTCAAACCACTGCCACCGATACCGGTGCTATTATTTCGGCCACCCATAAAACTGACATGGCTGGCTGACAAAGTTGGCAAAACATTTGAATCGCCAGCCATGGAGGATGTTGTTGCCCCTGCTGCTGTTGTTGTTGTTGTTGCTGCTGCTGCTGATAAGTAGCCACTACGTGTTACACTGCCACCGCCGCTACCACAACCACCACCATAAAAGCTACTGCCATCCAGCTCGGCCATTTGTTGCTCATTGGCTGTGAGAGGTTGTATGGAACGTGAACTGTGCTCTCTGTACAAAGGACCGGGCGATGGTACCAAATGGCGTAAAGTACCATTGAGGGATAGGCGTGGATTCATAATTTCCGGATAACTGGCACGTGGTTTTTGAAGGTATTGTTGCTGTTGCTGCTGCTGTTGAAGTTTTGCGGTTGCTGGCGTTGTAGCCGAAGGCACTCTTAATGAGTTGCTATTGATGCCACTGCTGCTGCTGCTGTTGTTGTTGTTGTGGATGTTATTGTATCTTTTTGGACTCTTGTGATGGCTGCCACTCATGCTGACGTTGGCGTAACAACAAGGTTTGTTGCTGTCGGTGTAAATGCGTTGGACTTAAAATCGTTGTTGTTGGTGTGTTTAATGTTGTTATTGTTGCAAATGCCAACGTTGTTGCCACTCTTGTTGCTACGGCAATTGCTGTTCATGTTTTGGTTGGCCGGCACAAGTGTTGCGGCTACGTTTGCTGCTGCTGTTGCTCCTTTTGGCTGCTTGTTGATGTTGGTGCTATTGAAAAAAGCCAATTTCAGCTTGTGGCCTCAAAATTGGGATTTTCAATAGCCAGTTACGAATGATGCTGGCTGGCGCTACTCTACAATCCGATGTCTTTCTTGTTGTTCTTTTTGTTGTTTTTTCTTTATTTTACCCAGCCAAGTGATCTTGCTGTAGTTTTGTTGTAGTTTTCCTTGTTTGTCGGGGGTGTTGTGTTGTAACATTTGACCGCGTTATCATATCCGCCAACATCCGTTGCAATTTTATTGTTGCTATACAAAAATGAAATCGGAATTTGTTGTTGTTGGATTTTGCCTGTTTGTTTATATTTATATAAATATTCTGTATGTGTTCAGAGGTGGTAACTTTTGGTTTCAGTTTTTTTTTTTGCTTTATCTGTGTTTATTTGTAAAAATACAATAAAAGAAGAAGCGGTCTGTGGGTGAGGTTATATATATTACATCTGTGATAACAAAAGAACTAACGATTTTGGTGTAGTTTTCTGCATGTATTCAAAAATTGTATTGCTGGATTGAGGAAGGAACCGAATCCGTAAGTTTATATGCAGAAAATTATTTATATACAGCTCTTTACAACAGACAAACATTAGTTCTTCATTAGGGTGGGTAATACAAAGTCGACAATTTAGAAACCAGTAAGGAAAAGTCAAAAGGCGGGCGAGGCCGACTATATGATACCCTACACCACTGTGCATAATTAGTAGAGCTCCCGTAACAGAAGAATTTATTTCAAGTAGATCATACCAACTATCAACATTTGGCTTTAGAGCAGTTATAGAGTGCATGATATCACATGGAAAAGGATTATATTAAAAAATATATCGGAGCCGATTACGTTCCGAAATTCACTCCATTTGGGATGATATTAGTCATTATTTGCACAATAAACCTGAAATCGGATCAAGGATAGATAAGGGAGCTATATCCAAATCTTAGCCTCGATCAAATTTGGCAAAGGTATTTCCGAGCTTTATACGATTTTCCGAGATGTATAAGATCTGAACCGATTTTCTTTAAACTGAATACGGTTGGATGTACCAAAAATTCAGGACTTTTTGACAGTTATTGGCCATTTGGTGCACAATTAAATATTATAGACCATTTGGTGCATAATTAACCCGAAATCGGTTAAAGATATATATGGGACCTACAGGGTTGCCCATAACTTTTGACAGAGATGTCACATCACTTAATGACATACCGCGTTTGAAGCGTCAGTCCAAGCAGATTTTTACCATGAACCAATACACGCAGCGATCTGAAATAGTTGAAATTTACATTCAACAGAAGAAGTCAATTGTGAAAATTCAACGTGCTCTTAAAACATTAGAAAATGTGAGAAGTGCGCCTTCTAAGAACAACATTAAGTGTTTATACGAAAAATTTTCGACTGGTTAGGCTCTTTCTAATCCGAAGAGGCCATATAAAAGTCGACCAAGTCGATCGGCCGAGAGTATCGCTGCCGTACGAGCCAGTGTTGAGAGGTCCCCAAGAACATCCCAAAAACGCCGTTCTCATGGCTCGGTCCACTTTACAACGGATTATTCGCATTGATTTGCATTTGTTCCCGTACAAAATTCAATTGACGCAAAGAATGTTGCCTGCGGACATGCCTCGTCGATTGGAATGGACCCAAAGGTCCGCCGAATATGGGCAACCCTGTATATCCAAATCCGAACCTATCTTGATAAAATCTGGCAGAGGTATTTCTGGGCTGCATCGAATATCTGATACAAAATATCATTGTTGTGGATAGCATATTACGAATTTGAGGGACTTTAAATCGTATGAAACATATGTATGGAAGCTACAGCTATATCTGAACCGATTTTCACAAAATTTAATGTACCTCCTTCTAGACTGAATTCAGTCGGATATGACAAAATTCAGGTTATTTGGACTGATATTGGCTATTTGGTGCACAATATACGAAATCGGTTGAGGATATATATGAGAGCTATACCCAAAATCTAAACCGATCTTGACAAAATTTTTATACACTTATTTCAGAGCTGTTGATTTTATATCTGGTACCAGAGATCATTGTTCTGGAATGCATATTACGCTTGTGAGGGACGTTAAACCCCAAATCAGATGAAACATATATATGGGAGCTATAGCTATATCTGAACCGATTTTCTTCAAATTTGATTTACTTGCTTCTAGACTGAATTCGGTGGGATGTACCAAAACAGAAGTCATTTGGTCATTTTTTGGTGCGCAATTAACCCGAAATCGGTGGAAGATATATAGAAGCTATATCTAAATCTGATCCGATTATCACCAATATCAACAGGGTACGTCCTTGGGCTAATCAAATATTGTTTGCAAAATTTCATCTCAATCGGATAATAAATGCGACCTGCATTTTGTTCACAAAGATACATGGACTGACATGAATAAATCGACTCAGAAAGTGATTCTTTGAAGATCGTCAAAAGTAACTATGGGTCTATCTCGCCTACTTCTCCATGTTACAAACAAATGCACAAAAACATAATACCCTTACCACTTTTTGATGTAGGGTATAAAAATGTTTGTCGAACTCTAAGTAAGAGTGTTAGGTACCGATACGGGTGCTGATACAAACTTGGGGATATATGTTAAATATGCCTTGAATATTCCCATTTAAATTGGTAGTATTAGTATTTAAGGCTCCCAGCATACACTTTATAGCAGTGTGTAGCATGCCAAAATATCATAGAATTCAAGCATAGATCCAAGAATGCATCTAAAGTCTAAATTTTTCCTAAAGCCCGACCTTAGGCAAAACAATTATTTTAGAAAGATGACGTGAAAGACAAGAATACGCCTCATCATCTCATCTCGGTTTTCATTATATTGTAAGGAAATATTTGCATCAATGTTGCCCGAACAACGCAAAAATATTTCCAAATGTATTATACCCTTCACCTTGTCATTCCATTTGTAACTTCCCTAAATATTCGTCGTAGACCCCATACATATGTATACCTTATATATTCATGACCAGCATAAAATTTAAAGTCGACTTAAGAATGTCTGTCTGTCTGTTGAAATCACGATACGGTTCACATTATTTGGCTCAGTAGTTTGCATTGTGTCTAGGATGGTTGGTATTGAAAATGAGAGATATCGGTCCACTTTTTCGTATACCTCCCAATATTCGGCGTTTTGATGATTTTTTGCAACATTTTTCATGGATTTGCCTAAAAAACTAGTATTTGTACCTCATAATGGGTTCTAGCTCCGATGGCGAAGCATTATATGTATAGGTCAACGTCTTCGTATAGCCCCCATATAGCGGTACCTCCCGATTTTGAGTATTTTCATTATTTTTGCCACATTTTCCTACAGATTTGTCTAAATAATGGTATTTGTAGTTCGTAATGGTTTCCAACTCCGATGGTGGAATATAGTCGGTTGGTGAATCATTGTATATATGTGTACACGTTTTCCTGTAGCCCCATATATCGGTATCTCCCGATTTTCGATATTTTAATGGCTTTTGTCGGTGGCTAAAAATTGTTTGTATAGTCCCACGATTTGGTGTAGCCCCCATATAACGGTACATCTCGATATCCGGTATTTTGTTGATTTTTCCGATGGTGGTTTTCGTATAGCCCCACATATCGGTATCTCCCGATTTTCGATATTTTTATGACTTTTGTCACAATTTCCACGGATTTGTCTAAAAATTGGAGCATGTTGGCCATGATAGGTTCTAGTTTCGGTGGCTAAACATTGTTTGTATAGACTCCCGATTTGGCATAGCCCCCATATAACGGTACCTCTCGATATCCGGTATTTTGTTGATTTTTGCCACAGTTTTTCACGGATTTGTCTAAAAATCGGTATTTGTGGGTCATAATGTGTTCTAGATCCGGTGGCGAAACATCGAATATTTAGGTCCAAGTTTTCCTCTAGCGCACTTAAACCGATACCAACCGATATTCGGTATTTTGATAATCGTAGTCACCTTTACCCATGAAATTGTTTCAATTTTGGTATTTTAGAAGATTTGATAGATGACAATCTTTGAAGTATAAAATGGTCTGTAGAGGTTTCCGTTTTGGTATACCCCCATGCAACAGCCTCACACACTTTATGATTTTTTGAAAAGTTTAACTGCATTACGCAAACGGTCTTACTGGTATTTATAGTTTAAAGTGGAGCACGCTTTAATTCAGATACTTTTATATGAAATGATATCTTTTCCCTAAGGTGGAGGGTATTAAACATTCGACCCGGCCGAACTTAATGTTTTTTATTTGTTTCATGTTAGATCCTTTAGGAACTGTATCAATCCTGTCTAAAGGGATTTTGAGTAAAGTACTCAGAAGGAGCTCAGACAATTTCTTCAAAAAATGTGGCTACAATAATCAAAATACCGAATATCGGGAAATACCGTTATATGGGGTGATATACGATATCGTGAACCTATAGAGGGAATTCTCTTCAGAGGGCAAACATCCCAAAAATAACTGCTTGTGAGGATTTTACGACAATTCCATTGAATAATTTAGCTATACTATCGTGGACCTATAAAGAAAATTCTCTTGCAGGCGGTAAAGTATCCACAAAGAAGTCCTTTTATACAATCTCAGACAATACCATTAAAAAATGTGCCTAAAATCATCAAAATATCCCGAATATCGGAAGATTCAGTTATATGGGGGCCATGCGATATCCTGGAGCGATATAACCCATCTTCGAATTTGACCTGCCTGCACAACTTACTGACGAACTTACTATACACTCCAGATAAAAATGTATAAAATATATCGAATC